GAACATCTAACAGAAAGTACAATAATAAAATAAGTTCTTTACAGATTTTAAGATGCTAATAGCATTAAATAAACGATAAATCGATCTAATTTAATTCGAGAAGGATTAGCATTATTTCAATTTGATTATGCAAGTCCGAAAGTAATCAGTGCGCAGTCATATATGATTTATCTGTAATTTATTTAAATCAGTCAGTAAATTTATTTAAATACACATATATATATATATATATATATATTATTGCAACATTTAACAGTATTTATTTGACAGTAATTGACTCTTACTTAGATGATAAGACAATTAATTACTTTCCTCCAAATATGAAGGGCAGTACTTTTTTATATTAATTTCTGAATTGGGATGGAACATGGAACGCAGCATTGCAATGTACGAGTCGTATAATAAAGCGCATACGCATTTTTGTTGTCACGTCTTTTCAATGATATTATTATCAGGACGTCCTCCGACGCGAAAGATGCGCGCAAAGTGGTAAAACGCGCGGCTGGTAAAACGCGCGGTAATAAACGACCGCGATGATTTTGCTCCGTGTCACCGTACCGAATTTAAAGTAGGCAACGCGCGACTTTGCCAATCTGAATAAAGGGAGCAGTGCGCTCGATATGGCGAGGCGTGGGTCTAGATCCTCCATCCCTTCAGGCTCGTAAATAAATAAAACCTACGAGAAGATACCGCGGAGTGGCGCGTGCATAAATAGGCGGTTTGTACAAAAAGTGCGTGCATTCCCAACTCTCGAACGTGAATCATCGTAAAAGTGTGTTCGCCTGTTCAATATATTGTACTTACGCGGAGCATCTTCTCTTGTAGACGAAAGCTTAGTTTCCTTTTGTCTGACACACACGCTGCATAATTTCCCTTTTTCATATAGCAAATTTTATCCACAGTAAGTCCACCGATCGAACATTCTAATAATTTATTTGCACGCCGAACAGAAAATTCCTTCTATCAGTCAACTGGAACGCGATTTAATATAATAAATTTGAAGAATTTCCCACAGATACCAAGTAAATCCTTTTTTTTTTTTTTTTTAATTTAGGTTATCAAATCATTCTGTACCAAGAAAAAAGTGCTGTATTTATATAATAAATAATTTGAAGTTGAGAAGTTTTTTCGTTTTCCGAAAGTTTTTGGAATTGTTCGATTTTTGTGAAAAACCTTTCACTTATATTTATTATATAATTAAAAAACGGATATATTTCTGGATGTATTTATTTCTACATGTATTTATTTCTACGCGATGATTTTTTTCTATTAATCTTTATTATTGTGTATTAAAAGTAATAAATTAATGCGACATAATCTGTATGACAAATGTGTTAAATAGAAAAATAAGAAGTGACAAAACAGAGAACAAAACGTATAAAGAAAGAAGAGGGTGAGTACAGATAAAAATTGAAAGGTTTAGAGAAAAATGTAGGAGTAACGTAATGTAAATGTGCAGAATCGGGTCTTTTGGAGGATTCAAGAAGGTCTGGGACGACACACGGGCGACATAGTACATCGATGATTAACGATCTCCTTCAATTCGGCATGAGGAACGCCGCGATATTTTTCACCCCGTCGACGTTCGAACATTCTAAATTCCCATCGCGGATCGACTTCATGGCGTTTACGTAGATTAACGCGGAAGTCTCCATCACCACAAATCATTATTAGCATATTATCGGCGACACTTATCAGGGCGCCGTGCGAAGTTCCACCCTCTCAAATAAGACTCCGCTCATAAATCAGAAAGTGTCTTTCCTCGACTCGGTGATATTTCATTCGTTAACAGGTATATAATTACGTCCGCCGCGCCAAGTCCATCTCGATCAAACATTTTTCCACTCGGCACGAAAATATACGCGTACGAATGAGACAGGAAGAAGAAGAGGAGAGAGAGAGAGAGAGAGAAAGAGAGAGAGACGTCCTCCTCGCATGCGATCAAAACAGTCAGCCTATAAACCGGCTGGTTTATCGACGATCAATGGTACATCTTCATGATAAATATTTGCTTAACGCTCGCGCGGTGGATTACCGTTACCTCGCGTAATTACGAGCCGTGTATTTCACGAAGCGAGTTAACGATTATACGCGGATACGTCAGCCTATCGATGCCCATTACCAATCCGAAATAAAGTTCAAGTTTATTATCTTCTATCTCCGTTCGGATTGTGATAAAGTGTTCGAATAAAATGTCGCTTTTGCAGTATTTTATGAGCTTTTTGGAAGCGACAATACATATTCCATCGACAGAGCGACAAAAACAGGACCGTATATAAAACAGTGATGCGAAGGGGATCGATCGATCGTCCACCCTCTCTCCTCTCCTCTTCTCTCACTCACTCTCTCTCTCTCTCTCTCTCTCTCTCTCGCTCTCTCTTTCTCCCCCCCCCTGCCCCCGGAATAATTAAAAACGCGACGTTTGATCCGACGCATCTCTCGATCTGCGAACTTGCTTATGGAAAAAAAAAAAAAAAAAAAACTTTAATCGATATTTATCATTAATTGCGGCGACGAATCCACGCGGATTTATTGCGCGCTTTGTGAATATATTTCATCGGTCGGCCGTCGTATATTCTGAAGGAAATTTTTCCACTTTTTTCAGTTATCCAGCTCAATATCAGCGCAGACATAAAATGTATCATCACCGCTCGAAACGGAAGGAACGCTACCGCCATCACGCATCCGAAAATTAATCGGCGTGGGCGCAGCCGATAACGAATGGTGTTCCCGCCAAACGGCCAGTATATTTTACTTTGCTCTCCAGTGTCTGTTATTTTGTGCGCATTCTGGCTGTCCGCTTGGCACGATTTACTCGCCGGTCTCGATCAGGAATTTTCGAGTCGCACGCGCGCGCAACCGGACAAATACCCGCGGATCCATTAAAAAATTGCTGTCGTTCGTGTTTGTTTCGATCGGCTCTCTCTTCCGATTAAAGGCCCCAATCGCGAATTATCTATTATCGGTCCGCAGTGTAATTAATTACTGAGTTTGTTTACAGCAAAATATTAAACTGTTATTAGTGAAGTTTAAAAAAGAATTTTTTACCTTATATACATTTACTTATAAAAATCTTTTTTTTTTTAATATATAGTAGAAGTCGCAAGGAATTTTAGAGGCATTAAAAATTCGAAAAAAAAATTTTTTTTATTTTTCACTAATTTAAATTCATAAAAATAGAGTTACTGTAAACTAATAGTTATAATGAAGTAAATCATTAAAAATTATAAAATTTACGTTCAAAGACTTTACTTTATATTTACTTTAAACGTTATTAAAAATAATATTTTTGAAAACGAATGGCCGCAATAATGCAAATACAATTTATGTATTATATTTAAAGTTTTAAATAAAATGTTTTTAATAACATTTCACATGGATTCCCGGATTTCTTACTACTTTACATTTTTTTTTTTTACTTGATAAAAAATTTCGAGAAAACGCATTGGGTTTACGTGGAATACGCAGCATATTTATTATTGTTATCATTATTAAATATATTAGATATCTATTATATAATCTTTTACAAAAATTTGTATCTATTATATTTAATAATGATAACAATAATAAATATGCTGCGTATTCCACGTAAACCCAATGCGTTTTCTCGAAATTTTTTTGGAACGATTTCTAGTGTCTTTCGCACCTGATGCCTTCTTCCTGATACACCGTTGTTCATCCGGTTGCAGCTTCAGGCGCGTCGGTAAGCTGCACACGTTTAACCCTTTCATGTCCAATGGAACATATATGCATAAGTTTCAATATATTTAAAAAATTATATCTCTAATAAACATCGAGTTATTAACATCAGCAAAGATCAGTAAAACAATTAAAGTGAATTTTATCAATTCTACATTTCTTAAATTAGAATGTTAAGTATAAATATCAGTCCTTATTTATCATCCTTGATTACACTGTCCTTTTTTGCGGCATAAGTGTGAAGTATTTCCGATATATTTACGCCTGCTGAACACGAATTCGTTGGTCAAAGTCTATCATAATTTTAAGAAAAATCATTTTATATATACTCTTTTAAGTATATATTTTATATATAGTATATTAAATATATGATTTTGAAGGTTTTTTTTTTATGACGCATCGTCAGTAAATTTTTTTTCTAAATTTCATTAATGTCACTGAAAAGTATCAACATTTAGATTTAAAACGCATTTTATTTTGTTTCAGTACAATTTTTCGTTTTCAAGTTATAGCAATTTGAAAATTTTCATTTTTAAAGGTATTTTTCCATCTTAATACTGCATTATAATGTGGAAGGTAAGTACTTTATAATACTTAAATAGTATAATTGGATCATAAATAAAAAAGAAATTAACAAAATATAATATAGCAGGAAGATTATAATATCTTTAATGATTCAAAGATTGTACTCTTTTTGTCATATTTTATTTTGTCAATTTTACGTATTGTACTTTTTCATTTAATACGATCTGATTATACATATTATATAAGTACTAAAGTATTTATTTTTGTACATAATGTAATATTGATGAAACAAAATATTCTTTTCATGTAATTGTTATTTCGAAAATAAAAAAATCGATCTCACACAGAAATTAAACAAAATGCTGAAAACTGATAATACTTTCGAGTGATAACAAATACAAGAAAATACAAGAAAAATTTGCTACCGACGTTACAATGTCATAACAGCTTTTAAATTCGTCGTTTTTTGGTTCTTTTTTTTTGCGTAATCTTTTTCGTAATTGTAATAAAAATTTAACCAAACCTTTTTTCTTCTATCGTTATAGAAATCATCGTAACTCTTTCCAAAAACAACATCGTCTTTACTCTGCAACTATCAACTAAACCGAAGCGGCACGCCACAAAGAGCAGTTCGATGCCCCAGCCGAGATGAGAGGGAAGGAGAAAAAGAGAGAAAGAAAGAGAGAGAGAGAGAGAGAGAGAGGGAGAGAGAGAGAAATCCATCTGTCGCTCCAGCAACAATTCAGGATCGGTCGTCGGTGCAGGCGGCAGGTGGCGTTCATGTATCCGATGCGCGTCTCTTTCCGCCATCTTTGGACAGTGAAATCGTTGTTGAGACTTCGTGAGGAGTGTCGGATCGACTTGTAGTGTAACGATAGTGCGTGAACGTGGTATCAAACAACAACGACAACGACGACGACGACGACGACGACGACGACGTGGAGGAGGCTGTCGCTCGCCAGTCGCGAGAATTGCGAGCCGTCCGGGATCGGTGTAGCGTGCTGAACGAGATTCGCGGATAATCGGGGGACGCGGAGTCGAGGACGGTAAGTGTCGACTGTCGGCCCGCGCGGTGCGCCATTGCGGCCGAGTTCTCTCGCTCCTGGCTCCGTTCCTGCCAGCGGAGAGGAGCGTCGCCGCGTCGCGAGTGTGTGTGTTTACATTGGGTGTGTCAAAGTGCCAGTTGTCCACGCCGGAGTAATAAATCCGCCGTGACTTCCGGCCGGACGCTCCGACGTGCGTTATACCAGGCGTCTCAGAATTTATCAGAATTTACGGCACGTTGAATATTTTTCCGAAGACAGAGAGGGAGAGCGAGAGCGAGAGCGAGAGAGAGAGAGAGAAAGAGAGAGAAAGAGTGAGGCTGCTGCAACATGCATGCGTTGATCCACGACGGTCTTCAAGCCTTCGGATACTATTTCATTCATGCGTTTTTATACGACAAATGTGTGCAGGGTGGAGATATCCTCCTTTTTCAAGACTTTTAAATATCTATAGAATCTGTCTATTCTATTAGGTATTTAAAAGACTTGAAAGATTCATCGTACAACGAATGCGCACAAATGAAATAACGATCCTTTTCCGACACTCGAAGAGCTACCTGCACGGAGCAAAAGATTACGTGAAGCCCTCGCTATTTGATTCTTTCGAGAATTCTTTCATTATTTTGAACCGTAAATCTTAACGTTTCTTATTTCAGCTTCAAAGGCGCGCGTCAAAGAGAGTTCTCCGCTCGGGCTCGGGTTCCAAGTCGATCGTCCGTCACGAACATGCGCGTCGGCGTCTCATGCACCCATCAACGTGAATTCTTTTCGTTGTTCGACAAAACCTCCAATCTCGACGATTCGCGTTCTCGACGCGCGGTTAATTTTTATCTACCGCCTTCTTCTCATCCTTGTCGCTCTTCTTGTCGACTGACAACGCCACGTACGCACCGTACGTACTGCACACAGTTACATACACGTACACACATGCGAATTGCCTTTCCCTTTGCCACCCCCGCGCTCTTCATCTCCCACCCTCCCCTACCCCCCC